ATGAGGCCATGGCTTCTATACCAGCAGCATTACAAAAAGAAGACCAAGCTTCCGTATTGTTAGTATGTAAAGAGTAATAACTTGCCCTAAAGCCAAGTATTTCTATTTGGGAGTAGCAGTTCTCAGATCATGTTGCAGAAGGAAAGCCAGGTATTGAGGAATTTAATGTTACCAAGATCACATTGTCTCGAGAAATACAACTGTCCTCTGAGTACTGTGTTTAATTTAAGCTAGATGAAAGTAAGAATATGCACTCACCATTTGTGTTATTCAAACATGAATATCAGACCTTCCATCGTACTCCCTGAAAGAAACAGGTAGTATGTTTTTGTTTTTTTTTTTTTTTTAAGAGATGGGGTCTCACTATGTTGTGGGGACAGGTTCCAAACTCCTGAGCTTAATTGATCCTCCTGCCTCAGCCTCCTGAGTAGCTGAGACTACAGATGTGTTCCACTGCACAGCTAAGGAGCTGTATTTGTCTTGTTTACATATTTGGCTTGAAGCCTTGGTATTTATATCAGGGGATCACTGTAGGACCCCCCCTCAAGGGAGTCCTGTCTGCCCCAGGTTAGGAGAAGCCCTGTTTGAAAGCTTGCTAAGTGAAGAGTACATTTAATTTAGGAAATATTTCTGTCCCTGCCTCATGTCTGGATCTTCTTGGAACTCCAAAGGCCAGCCCTTTTACATTATAAATTCAAGATGCCACTTGGCTTCCATGGGTCCACGTAGAAGTCACTTGCAGCTCATTATTTTCAGTCCCAGGGATTGAACTCAAGCAGTTCTGAGCTACATGCCTACCCCTTTGTTTTAATTTCATTTTGAAACAAGGAAAGTCTTGCTAAGTTTCAAAGGGAGTCGTTGAACTCAAGAGCCGCCTCCCTCAACTTCCCAAATAGATGGAATTACAAGCACGCACCACCATGCCCGGCTGAAGGAGCTCCTTGTTATTATTGTCACTTAACTTCTGTAGGGGATGACAGCCCGTTCCTCAGGCTTGTTGGGTAGGAGGTCCTGAAAACATCCCTGTGGACCAGCAGCATATCATCTCTCTCCAAGAATTGGACGCATTATGTCTAGAAAACAACAACCTGGAGAAAAAGAAAAAAAGCTCCAAGAATTAAAAAGCGGCAACAGAAAACCTAGAAAGCACAGAGAAACTGAAAAGGACAATGGGGGAAAAAAAGGACAGTGCAGGGAAAAACAGTGAAGCACAAAGAGTTGGCAGCTGCAGGGACAAGCAATAGAATGAGGTGGAAGTGCTAGCCTCGTGAAAAGCCCAGGGTTGTGGGGTTTTACCCTGAAAGTGACTCCTTCCACTTGACAGGTTAGACTTGGAGAAGAAATCCAGTGCAGCACCCACCATATTTGAGAGTGGTAGACCAGGAGCCATTTTGTGAAGTTAACTGTTTAAGACTAAGCTACTCCAGGAACTAGAAGCCACAGAACAACGCCACTTCAGGATTTCTGGGGTCACCCTACCAGAGTGTCTGGCTGAAAGACAGCCAAGAGAGACAGTTGTGAAGCTGGTGTGGGCTACACATAGACCCCTGAAGAAATGTGAGCAGCTGTGAGATTCTGCTGGCAACAACATGGTAGTTTTTCCCTCGGTTGGTGAGTAGTCAGGCAGGTCATGTGTGATTCTCAGAGGGGGCTGGGTCTGTTGTTGTTGGGTGGAATACTGTAGAAATCTAGTAAGTCCATTTGTTCAAAGGTGTGGTTCACCTCTGATATTTCTTTCTTGATTTTTTTTCTGTCGAGTTGATCCATTTGTGAGAGTAAGGTATTAAGGTCTCACCATCGTAATTGTGCTGTTTATCTGATGTTTTATCTGGCAGTATTTGTTTTGTGAAGTTGGATGCACCAGTGTTTGGTACATAAATATTTATAATTCTTACCTCCTCGTGTTGAATTGTACCCTTAACCAATTTATAGTGACCTTCTATGCCTCTTCTGATCAGTTTTGTCTTAAAGTTAGTTCACTTTCAAAAAAAATAGCTACTCCTGCTTGTTTTCAGGCATCCCTTGCATAGAATATTGTTTTCTATCCTTTGGTTTTTAGTCTGAATTTACTTTTGGATTAAATGTGTTTCTTGTATATGGAATACTATTGGGCTTTGCTTGTTGATCCATTCTGCCAATCTGTGCCTTTTCTTGGGGAGTTGAGAACATTTATATTGAGAGTTATTGCTGAAAATTATCGACTTACACCTATCATTGAACTATTTTCATGTTGCTGATTCCTTTTTTCCCCTGCTGCTTAACTCCCAAACCTGACTGTTGTATTCATTCCATTAGACAGTTTGGCATTGTTGACATCATTGTTTTTTCTTTTTTTAAAAAAATGAAAATTATTGGTACATTTTAGGTGTGCAATATAATTACATGCATCATTGTAAATTTGCACCTTTACATAGTCTCTCTTGGTTCTTATTTTTCACCCTTGCCCAGCCCTCCCTTCATGCCCTCCATCCCTCCCTATTTACAAAGATTTTGTTCCTATTTTTCCATTTTC